TATGTGTAGTGTACTTGTGTGTGTACATGTACAAGGGCACTCACAGTGCATGTATACCTTCTAACCCTCTAAAACTGGTGTTACATACAGTGGTGAGTCACTATGTAGATGCTGGAAATCAAACTTTGGTGTTCTGTCAGAGTACCATGCATTGGTAACTGCTGGGGCATCTTTCCTGCTAAAAGCATCATGATTGTCACCCAATATTTTTCACCATGAACAAATCTATTTCAAGCACTTATACTCAAGGTGTTTTGTTTCTTTTTTACCGCTCAGAAATTGAGAACAATCATGAGCAACAGGTAAACCAACATCAGAACTTTAACCCCTAGATAAAATTTTTTAATTCACGGTCATGAAAATAAGAATAAAAAAATAAATGCATGCCAGCCACCACTGTATCAGGTCTTGACATGCTACTCTTCTTCTCACCAGGGTGCTGGGAAGTTCTCCAAAGGTAACATGGTGAAAGACAGTATTGACAAAGCTTCCAAGAGAAACTTAGCTCAGATCCGAAAGAGAACCTTGTTCAAATGTAATCAGGACTAAGCTTTCCCTGAATCTTTGACGGTGTCTGTAAGCACAGATCTGAGACTTTCCCACAGTCCAAGTCAAGATTTTCTTTGCCTTATGTAGGTATAGCAGGCTTGTCTTATATACACTCAAAGACACAGAGACACACAGGGCAGATATCATTTGTGAAGTTGTTTTATGTGGGGGAAAATTCTCCACTAGAATACCTAATTCGATAGGTGAAGAATTCACAATCAAACCAGTGAGAAGATGGAATGCTTGCAGGACGTCCCACCCAGGCAACACCGTGCATGGTTGTATTTTTCTGTCCATATCCACAGTGCCATGGCATCCCTTCCTTGAGGGTGGAGAGCAAGCTCTCATGTCACTTCCCTCTTGTCCCATTATCTTATCTACTCCGGGATCCAAACATGGTCCATTGGCATTTTGGGGATGGAATGCTGCTGCCGGGAGAAATCATTTCAACTTCTTCCCAGCACACCCTGTCTGGAGGACCTGTCTGGAGATGGTTGGTGCTAGCACTTCCTTGGTGAGTCAATAGATGGCAGTGTTTCTGAATCTAGAAAGGGGGATTTTATTAAAAATAAAGATTCTGTGAGGCAGCACGGGGCCCAAGGAATGGCAGAGAAATTGGATTTCCTTCCTGGCTCTTCTGAATAAGTTTATTTGAATAAATGGAGACTAGCCACTTAACTTTTGTTTCCCTTATTTTCTTGACCTTGAAATTAGACAGAATACTGTGCTTCTTCTCTCTGCTCTCACAAGGACACTGTGATCTAATCAGACTGCGGATCATTTCCGTACTCTGAAGAAAGACTCTTTATGAGTTTGCTGTGCTATTTATAATGTAGATGGCAAAACTGATGCAGGCTGTTCATCTGGGCTGTGAAGTAAATAAACAGAGGCAATTGGCAAGAAGGGTCTTCTCTATTCCTGTGCCATAAAATGTTGACGCTTTCTTATTTTAAGTAGCCCCATTGGCTTTCAAGATGCAAAATAACTCTTGCTCCTTGGAATGAAAATAACTTCCTCAGGAACAGAGAACTTGGAAATCTTGGCATGAGGCCAATGGCATCCTTGGAGACTTTCCAGTTTAAATATCAACTGTTCTTTGCAAGTAACAGCTTGAGTCAGATACAGTAATTTTCACTTCTGCCTGCTATTAAACAGGAGAAACTTGCTTTGACATTTCACCCCATTGCCAGTTAATGATAAACATGAAGTTATTTTATAAATTTGGAATAACACTGAATGATTGGCAGAAGTGACCTGGCTATCCACTAGGACACCAGTTCCACAAGAAATTAGAATCATGGACTAAAACTTGCATTTATACTCATGGCACTGACATTGCTCATGGCAAGAGACTGTGTTGGGGCAACTGAAAGCAAGGCATGTCACCTGGCAACCTGCCTCTGCTCACAGCTGAGCATCTCTGCTGAGAGCTTTTGTTTAGGCATGTTTGGAATGGGATGGAATTAGTAATACTCTGTCCAGATATGCGGGTTCTGTCAGAGGAGGTCTGTGATCCTGATACAGATGCTGTTCTCTTGCAGGAAGCAGGAAACTGTAAGAACTGAGGAGTCTTCCAGCAGTAGAGCTGTACCTGCTGATTGACATGAACTGAACAGAGAACATACTGTGTTTCTTGGTAACACTTATCCAAATTGAGACAAACATTGGAGGTAGATTCTTAGAATACAATCAGTGAGGAAAAGCTTGTCCAAATCAGCATCCACTGTCAAAATGCTATCAAAGAACCAGGCTTTAGGAAATTTTTTTCCAGGGTAAACAGGAGTCCCACACAACTGATTTTTGTGATATGCTGTCTCATTTGTAAGATGGACACCCCTTTAGATGAATTACAAATGTCTTGTTGGTTTGAATGTCAGGAGGTTGCCATTTAATTTAAATACGTATAAGTATTAAAATATGTTGAAGAAAATATCACATCAGCCTCTAATTCAAAGTACCAATTATGTTGTCTGGGTTCTGCTTTTGAAACTGTTCTTACGAAACTGATTTTATCCTCAGATTTATTAAAGTGTCCATGATCTCAGTTTCGTAAGGCCTTCTATTTGAGCTCAAACAGTAGAAATTGGACTATAGTAATATAATTTCATAATTTCAAGGACATGGAAGTAAACACACTGTCTGAAACCAATGAACAGTTATAACTATGCAGGCAACACATGATATATTCCCATTAATGTGGATGGCATAGCTTGGGCTGGACCATTCTACAGTCACTGAACAAAACAGGTTCAAAACCAAGGAGAATAATATAAGGCTAGAGTTTAATTAGAGAACTGATTTGCAAACGTCTTAGCCAATGTGTTATTTTCTCTGAAGCTACATATTGATGCAAATAAATGATTCAAAAGAAGCAAGAAGAATAGAAAATCACTAAAATTATGATGTTTATATATATGACCTCAATGGAAAATAGCTGGGCTAGACCGCAGTCTGTTTAAAGAGGATGAAACATGACTTTTGGCAATTAATAAGTCTATTAAGTCTATTAATAAGTCTGCTTAGAAACTGAGAACCAGATCCTCATCAATGTTTGTTGATGGCAACTATAGAATGAAAACAGAGGATAAAGGCACACCTTTTTTTGTTTAATCTTGTTTATAATTTATTATATTTACTTAAAAAGCACCATCCATATCTAATTTTGGGTAATCTTGTGGGCATTTCATAGGTCCGTCAGAATGCTCCTTCCAGTCTGTGAAAAAAGAATAATGTAATACTTTCAGCCATTCTAACCTTGGGTATGATGATGCTCAGAGAAAGCCATCCTCACAAGCCGCATGTCAGCTCAGTGGATACAGAAGGCACAGAACGAGAGTCTGTTATGCATGTTAGATGCGTATACTCAAAATGTAAATCTAAAACAAAGCTAATAAAAGTTAGGCTCCTTAGGGAACCAAAAGAGAGAAAGCCATTGGAAGATCCAAGGGAAAAAAATTGAATTCTCAGCCAAACTATGTGGTGTGGGACGATGATCTGTATTATGTCAATTATGTTTAAATAAAGGCTGATTGGTCATTTCACATTTTTTTCACATACATGATTATATTGGAAGCTTCTTCAAAAATTGTCCAAATACCAGTTTGAGGTTCATGTGAACTTATTGCACTCCCATATCCACTATCCTTTATGCATACACCAATCTATACATTCTATAGTCTGTAGCAATGATTTGCTTAACTTCTTGACTCTACTACTTAGTTTTGAAACAATAGGTAAAGGGATTTATTCATTTCAACAAATTATAGCAGAAAAGGTGTGAGATTCACTAACTTCTTCATTAAAATGGGTATTATTTAACATATGCGTGTTTATATTTACCAACTCATTTATTCCCATCTCAGCAATTTTATGTAAGAAGAAAATTAAAATGCAGAACTCAGTTTAATCTATCTATCTATCTATCTATCTATCTATCTATCTATCTATCTATCTATCTATCTTTAACATGTTGCCTTCATTTAACACTTAGTAAGGAACAACAAAGAACCTTGCATATGCAATTTCCTTTAGCTTTCAGGGACTCTCTCTCTCTCTCTCTCTCTCTCTCTCTCTCTCTCTCTCTTCTTCTGTCTAAGATTTATCTTGATATACATTGCATATTAGTAAATGGTGAAACTTGAATGTATATACTGCATGGCTCGTGTATCCTTAGTATTGTACATAATTCTTAAGTTTTATGTGATTTGAAATTGTGTAAGGAGCGATAAAAATCCATGGGTGGGAGTTAACTTACATTTAGAACCAGTAAGCAAAAAGGAAAATAAAACTCACCTAAATGTATAGCCACATGTAAATCTGTATGTTTGTTACACACATAACTTCCAATTTATACAGAAATAATACCTGTGGTTTGTTTTTGTAGATTCATTTCTTTGCCTGTTTGGTGTGGTAAAGATTCATGTTTACATTGATCCTGGAATTACACAAGAGACCTGGCTTCTGACCAAAACTAGAAAGAATGACATTCTCTACAAAATAACTTAAAGGGGATTGTGAAATGATTTTTCTTCACTGTCATTTTCTGTTTACTCAGTCACTCGTGGAAAAATATGTGTAGGATACATATAATACTTCATCCAAATATCATGTGTATGATTGAAGTTCCTCGGTTAGAATGTGCTGCTAAAATCCAGTGTAGCTTCCCACATAAACTCCACCTTGACCTTTTATTCTAGTCCAGGGCCTTCATTGAAAGCACATTTTGCAGATGGCTACTTCTGACAAGATCCTAAGTCTCAATATGTTTCTTTGTGCTGGGCTGGGAGGAGAGACAGAAATTCTGCATGTGTTTCAGAGTCAAATATTCTCAAGTCCCAGGAGGAGAAAGAGCAGCAGCACACAAAGCCTGGACATTTGCAGAAGGAACAGGAAATGAATCCAGCATCTGGTGCATCAGTAAGACAGTGGGGAGGACAGGGTTGGGGACAACCTTTGTTGAGAACAGTTTTAATCCAGCAAATAGACAAAACTCTGTCTTTCAGAGTAAGCTTCCTCATCCACACCCGATGTTTGTGGATATCTCAAAGACGCTATTCATTTTCTCTTGGCAGCAGCCTGTGAAAAGGAAAAAAAAAAGAGTTTACAAAGGCCTTTTCTATTGCACTCATAAAAGTTATTTTCAAAATCAATCATAAGTAAATGTGCTTGCTTAATACCTATCTGGTTATTTTCAGAGACCTACAATTTTGAGAGAAATATTGAAATTCAATGCTTGTAAGAGACACACTAAATGACTTTTAAAACTATAAACTTCTTAATATTGTCAGCTCCTAAAACCACCATATCATTCCAGCATCCTTAAGTTAATTTAGGATTCTCAAAAGAAATACTTTCCTATTTTCAGAACAAAAATGTTTATCTAATTTTCCCGTGCCTTTTCATGTTTACTATAATTGTAAGCCACTGTCTTTTGCAAAGTAATATCTACATTCATTCTGACTTTTTGTTAGTCTTTATAATGAAGGGACTCTGACCTGTTCTAACACTTGGCTCTGAAGGTCTTTGACTTTCTCTCCCATTCTCTCGGAGGTGCTAAAATATTTTAGATTGCATTCCTAAAGCTAGCTACCAAGGTCTATTTCCTTATTTGTCCACTTCCCCTCTTGAGGCTGACTATTAAGGTCTAGTTATAAAAGTATTGAAGTCCAGCAATCAAAAGCCCCCTTTAGTTAACCTAATTAACATGCCCATTTGAAATTGAACACATGATCCTAACAAGGGGTTTCCCCTCCATTTTTATAATCTGCCATTTTCTCATGTGCCACATTTGTCTGCCCCTGTCCAGAGGCAGTCCTTTGTCCCTCCATGACAAATACCCCTTCTCTGTTTCCCTTTCTCCCCTATGTCCTTTACCACTGCACCCTAGCCCATTCTAACTTAGATCTCCCCCTTTTCTCCTTTTAAAAATTACCCCTGTGAAGTCATTTGCTTCTGTTTTCTGACTCAGCATTCAGAAAAAAACAAAACAAAACAAAACAAAAACCTCTGAGTCAGAAATCAGCCACTTTGACTTTTATTCTTCGCTTAGTAAAGAATCTCTCTGTGAAAACAAGTGTTTGGTTGTGGTTTGGGCCTAATCCGAAGGCCAACAGAAAGCCCTGCTGTTCAAGGATCTCCCTCAAAAGTGTCCTTTGTTGAACCTGTTGGTCAGAAAATAAAATGGAGATACTGAAAACTTTACTGGATTCAAAACAGCATTAACTTTATCGATAGTGTTATCACAAAATGATATGAGACTTAACAGAGAATTTAACACAAAAAAGAATCAGAGCTTTTATTCAAAGCCCCATGTTATCAGTTTCCTATTTAGTGGGTTTAAGTAAAGTAGCCAGGCTGGCTTTTCTAAAGAAATGGCGCTTTCCATGATGTTTTCCAGGCAATGACTAAGTCCCTATTAACCAGAATGGTGGAGATTGGGTGCTGGTGTCTGTCATGCAAAACTGTGCACAATACTGTTAATGTCCTTCTCATTCCAGATCTTAGGAACTACTGCCAGATAAGTTTCATAGGAAGAGATCGGATGCTGAACACGTCACCAGGAGTCTTTTTAAGTGGTAGGTCTCAGGTGGGTCTTACCAGAGTTCTGGGGGATCTTTAAAAGATATTTGCAGCCCAGCACTTAAATAACTCAGAAAATACAGAGCAGCTGAGCTACTGAGAATCAAGTTAGGGGCCAAGCAATCGCCTCTTCTGGAATCTGACCTGAAGGTAACTGTAGCTCTCCCTGCCTGGTTCTGAGAAGTTCCTTGAGTCAAAACTCAGCTGCCCAATGGGATGAGCAGAGGAATTTTATGCTCCAGGCCAGTCTGGGCAACTTTGAAACATTATTTCAGAACAAAGAATCTTTTTATCTGGAGTAGGGGGCAGAGTTGAGATTGACTCATTGATAGAGGGCATGGCTAGCATGAAGGAGACCTCAGGTTCAATTGAAGGTAATATAAAATACATAAATAATAAAGAGCGAATAAATAATATGAAACACAAATAAAGCTAGCCGCCTTGTCAGATGGCAAGGTAGTCCACCCATAAGTAAAGTACAGGAGTTAGTGGACTCTTTGCTCAGGTGTCAGAAACCTAATAATCACATAATTACATGTCGGTGAAAACCAAGCTCTGACTTTGGACCTCAGTCGTCCCTGCTCCTCTTTACTGTTGTTGAGACTTAACGTATGGGACAAGCCATGTTATGCTGTTAGAAGTTAGGGTCAATAACTCCCTGACCTCGGAGGTGCCTCATGTCTTTGTATCACAGTTGCTGTATTTAAGTGAAAATAAGCAAAAGATGTACTTAATGGAAACGTTGAGAAATAAATTAATTAATTGCATTATGAAGGGCATACTTTAACAAACACCAAATGTAGCCAAAGGAACTTTAAAAATGAGCTGAAGAAAAACTAATGCCATACTGTCTAAAGTAAATCCTTTTTATTTCCCCTAATTCTGTTTTTTTTTTATTTCCCCCAATTCTGGGGTCAGAGCAGGTCAAGTAACCTCAATTCTACTATCTCAGAAGAGAGAGACAGACCAGTCCCACACAGCTGCGGCAGGGATTTGAGCAGAGGGCATACTGAAAGAGAGCTAATATTGGTAACTCCTGCTATCACTGAGTGCATCTATGTGGGACAGCAGGGGCTTCAAACAAACAGCTAGAATGAGAGCAGCGCATCTCAGGCAAAGAACACTTTAGCCTCTGAATTGGTACCACTGCAGTGAAAGAGGCAAAAATGCTTCCTTTTTTATAGTCACACAGAGAGTCACTAGGTCACAGCAGGGTGCAAGACATAGGAGTCCATGAGAAGTCAGACTCAAGAAGCAGTGGGTTTAGTGACACAAGGAAGGGCAGGTCAGACTATTTTATCATTTTATGATGTGACATTAGGTCATTGAGATAAAATCTGACCTTTAGAAGAATTAAAGTTTTAAAGAAAATAAAGGTTTAGCCTTCCTTATTATTTACTAATCTGGAAAGAAGAAAGTCTAACAAGTATATGCCTCATGAATACATTTAAACATGAATAAATTCCTTTTTATATGTTAATCTTGTCCTTTCTCCAAATCTCAGAATTCTTTCTCTCAAACTATTCTGTATTCCTAAAACTAGCATAGTCAATATTTATTTTCTAAAGTTTTAGCTAATCAGCCATTATTAATGTTTATCTGTAAATTAATATAGTAAGATTTAAAATAATTTTATTTAAGACACAGTTGGGACAATGGTTTGTACCCTGTTAATTGTATTTTAATAAAATGCGGATTGGTCAGTAGCCAGGCAGGAAGTATAGGCAGGACAATCAGACAGGAAGTAGAGGCAGGGTGACAAGAACAGGAGAATTCTGGGAAGAAGAAAGCTCATTCTGCAGTTGTGACCCAACCACAGAGGATGCAAGATGTGACTGCCTTGCTGAAAAATGTACCAAGCCACGTGACCAACATAGACAAGAATTATGGACTAGTATAATTTATAAGAATTAGTTAATAGGAAGAGCCTGAGATACTGGGCCAATCAGTTTATAACTAATGTAGACCTTTGTGTGATTTTTTTGGTGGGTTGCTAAAGGGCTGTGGGATCTGGTAGAATACACAACCTCAGTCAACACTTCCATATAAGGCTTTCTTCATGAGTGAGAATTGGAGGTTAAGTTCCCATGCTTTCACAATAATCCCTCCTTCACACTCAGTGGTTTCTATAGTCTCTTTTGTGCTCTTACAAGGGCATTCATTTTACTCATGAGAGTTTGGCTGTCATAAATTAAATGTCTCTCAATAATACAAGGCACCAAACAATATTTGGTGATTAAAGTTTCTATGTAATAGTTTGCCAGTTTTTCCTTCAGGACTCTCAAATCCTCTAGATATACCATTCTTGAAGAAATGTGGGTGGGTATCTCAAACAGCACCCTGTCTAACATAGATTTTCTTATTCTTTTCTCTTTCTCTCTTGATGAATTAAAGAAACTTTTTTTTTCTTGTTCCAATCATTGCTGACTTGTTTGTCTAGTTTTTATCTGTTTTCACAGTTCTGTATATCTCCCTTACTCTTCAACTCAAGTATCGCAGCACTTTTCTTGATTGTAATAATAACAGATTTCTCATTTCTGCCTTCCTAACACTCTTCAAACAGGTTAACCAGAGGATTGGGCATTTAAATCCTGACAAAGACTTTTAATTTCTTTGTCCCTGTGGTCCTCAACCACACTTTTCCTTCTGATCTTTATCCTGTGGATCTCAACCACAGTTGTCTTTCTGATCTTCAACTCAGAATGTAGCCTGGACATCAAGTTTACCATATTGGATTCATGTAGCACTGTAGTTTCTCAACTCAGAGAAAATAAAATTGTCATTTTAATTTTGATGTCTTTTCCTTTTCTTTCTTCCCCTTTATTTTCTGGTATTGGATATTATGACTAGGGGCTAGACAGCCTAGGCAGACATTCTTCTGCTGAACTACTTTCCTACTATAATTTTAGTATATGTTATGATATTAGGTGGTACGGGAGAATTGTCTGTATTCTGTCAATCAGGTTTTAAGTAAACGCTGATTGGTCAGGCAGAAAGTATAGGCGGGAAAACCAGACAGGAAGTAGAGGTGGAGCAAAGAGAACGGGAGTACTCTGGGAAGCAGGAAGCTCCCTCCGCAGTCCTTCCCAGACGACTGAAGAAGCAACATGTCAGCTGCCACGCTGAGCCATGTGGATAACATACATAAATATAATGAGCTAACTTAAGTTCTAAGAGCTAATAAGTAGCCTGAGCCAATGGGCCAGTCAGTTTATAATCTTATGGAGTCCTCTGGGTGATTTTCTTTGGGGCTTGCTGGCTGTGGGGTACCGGGCGGGACAGATGCCCCAACAAGGAGGCCCCCTCATGTTACAATTAGGTCTCAATAAATTCTCAAACTAGACCTAAATTTCTCTCCCTTGTTTACATGCATTATACACTAAAATCTTTTCTCTTCAGTCATGGCAAAGATGGGAACATGTGTGTAGAACAGCAAAGCAGGAGCATGTCATCTTTATTTCCCTATCACTATGCAAATTGTTATGTGTCAGGTGTTT